AGGCAGTAGAGGAAAAGGTTAGACATCGAGGAGGATAGAGTTAAGGCAAGCGAAGAACTTGTATGGGGAAAGGTAGTTTGTGATTAAAGAAACAGATGGTGACTATTGGGGAAAAGGCTTAAGGGAACAGAAATAAAAAAGGAAAAATAAAGCAATAAGAATGCAGTTCAGCAATAAATGTGGCAAATTCCTATGGTATAGAAGCCTTTTAATAGGGAACAGAAACGCCACCAGGTCTGTGGTCATGGCCACCTGCAGGCACATATATTGCTAGGTTAAGCTGGGCAGAGAAGCTTTGAAAAAGTAGGCAAAATTAAACTGACCAGCAGAAGACCAGTGGTACAAACTGAAGTTAAGGAGATCACTGATCCCAAGAGTAATATGTTATGGGTATTTTGCTAGAAGTACAGGAATAGGCTGAGTAGAAAGGTGCTCAAATGTTCTGAATGCAGAGCTTAATCCTAGGGTTTACACTTCGTCATTTTCATTTGCAAGAAACTCACATTTAGAGCAGTGGCCTGTCCCCTTTAATGTATTAAAATTCTCATAGACATTAGAGGCTCCTACTTCAGACCACATTAAAACCTCATACTTCCTCCTCTTGTCCTCACGCACTTCAATGTGTTTCCCCCAGTCTTCTCTCAGACCTAATAAAATCTAGTAGTGATAAGATTCTTCCTGATGTTCCCAGTAGCTCTCATTCCTGATTGCGTCTGCAAAATGATACTTCTCAACAAAACAGGCTCTTTTGTGCCTTCTTGTGCACTTTTATTCAGGACCAGTGGCCTCTGTGACAGCAACCTTCAGTGAAAATGACCCCAGCCGAGTGTGTGCCTCTTAGGCAGAGTCTCCAATGGCTCTGGCTGCAGATGCCCTCTTTTGCCAGCCTTTCTTGCAGCTTCTAGTAGTATAAAGCATTGGCATGAAGTGTTTGGAAAACCTGAGCTCTCATGTCAGCTTCTCCTGCTCTTCTTCATTGGATTTTTTTTTGATCCTATTTCTAATATGCTCTTTTGTGACCTCAGTTACAGAAATAGCCACCCAGATATACTCCAAAGGAAAAGATGATTCTCTTGGAAATTTCTTTTGAATCTCAAATGAACTAGCAGTTGTGTTTACTGCTTGGATAAATAATTTAGGTTTGTGGTCCCTTTACAAAGATTTCTTCTTTTATTTCAAAGGAAATGTCCCCCTGTTGTGTGGACTTTCCTGGTTTGCAGTGTAGAAGCCTAGGGCTTTCCCTTCATATACTGCCTGCTCTGACTTACGTGTTGTAAATGTTACTGGTCAGTGGCTTGTGGCAGGCAGCAAATGACTCTCGGTTTTACATAGAGATGGCAATGTGTATATATTCTCTTTCCCTTCTAAATAATTTTTCTCAAATTGAAGTTGAATGGTAACTGGCCTTTTAACATACATAGGTGGTCGGCACAGAATGGGATTCTTGTCAGCGTTGCTTTATCTCCAGTTCTTTCCCTGTGCTCCCTTTTTCTGAACAGCTGTGTGCCTTAAAAAAACCTCACCGAAGAATGAGGTCTGTGCTGGTGGAAGGGTGATCTAAGTAATGGCTTGTCTTTTGCTATTCAGTTTATTAGTGAGCATTTGTGCTGTAGTTACTCTTTTTCTGATTAATATTTTGTTTGTTGTTGATGGAATGGTTATACATCAGGAACTCAAGTTTCAGAATGCTCATTAATGACGCCTTGCAGGACATTATGATGGTCTTTTATAGGTGACACTGGCTAGAAACCTCAAGATTTGCCCTATTTGATATTTTTTCTTCATGGCAACATTTAACTATGGAGTTATCAGCTGAATACTCTCACTGAGTAGGTTTCTTTTTAGCTAGAGAAATAGCAAAAAATGATTCCATCTTAGAGTTGACTTCCTAAATGATGTTCACTATAGTATCATAGAATGGTTTAGGTTGGAAAAGACCTTTAAGATGATAGAGTCCAACTGTTAACCCAGTACTGCCAAGTCCACCACTAAGCCATGTCCGTATGTGCCACATCTGCATGATGCTGCTGCTTTTGGTGTTCAGGGGACAAGGTAGTGTATAGAATTCTTATTTCCAAAACCTCCTTCATTTGTCAACATGAAATACACACTGGCTGGAAGAGACTTGCAGAGACTAATTCTTTCTAGCCTAAACAAGGTCCACGTAACCATTGACAACACCAGTTTTCAACTTCCTGTGCTTGACTGGCCAGTGGAAGTCATGAATTCCTTATGGCTTGCCATTCTGTCATGAAACCTGTTTAATTTGGATTTTCAGGGTCAAAATCTTCTGTATTGCAGGATTGTCCAACACTCTTGTCAACAATTTATTATTCCTGTTTACCTTAATTTACCACAGAGTTTGGTATCCCTCATGGATTTGAGGGTTTAGCTGTATAACTTTGCACTCTGAGGAGAGATGCAAGATATCTAGGAACTCGCTGAATGCTTCCAGTATGTTCAGGATGAGTAATTTTTACAAGCCTTATAAATTGCCCAAGGAAGCTGCTGTTCTATGAAGTTTTCCTGTTTTGAGCTCTCTCTAGCATTGTGTTTGTGTGCATGTTCATCCTTCTCCAGAACTGTTTTCTTCAAAATCCATCTTTTATAAAATGTTGTAGAAGAAATCTTTGTGTGAATCGTGCTTGGTTGGGTTTTTGGGGTGGGCTCTTGCTGCTTTAAGAGGCTGTGTTGTTTGTCTTGCTCTCGGTGATAGAAGTTTGTTGCAGTGTCTTATTACCTCGGTCAGGTTGTGTGGTGGTGTTGATCCTAGCAAAGAATAGTTTGTGCTGGTGAACCTGTAAGTGAGGAAACATTCAACGTTGGTAACAGTGCTATGTTTTAAGATGGAATAAGTGAAATGATACAGAATTGGTGTTTTATGTGAATGATATATAAGTAGGTATTTGTTTAATTTATTGAAATGTTTTTCTCTTAGATGAATTAATCTCTTATTTCTAAATTCAGGGCCAGTTTTGAAAAGGACAGTGCATGGCAGAGCACAAAAATGCAGTTTGAGGTTGGTTTTGTGGCTAAGGTTGCTTGAAATGTCCAAGGATAGTTTCACAGGTTGTTAATTTTTGAGGTCAAGGTTTTAGGTTCGTTTGATAAATCTTTTCACAGGTAATCACAGTCTGAATTTGATGGAAAAGTTTGCAGTATCCAGTCATACGTTAATCATACACAACTCCATGAATAGCAGGTAACAAGATACCCAGATCTTTTCTGCGCTCTGCAAAGTGATGTGTACCTCTTCAGAATGAAGAGTCAACTCCTTTTCCCCAGATTAAGCACTAGCAGGTAGAAGATAAAGATTAGTAGGCAGTGTTAGCAGAACTAGCTTTTCTCTAGGGGTTTCCTTCATTCACTGTTGTGGTATGACAATGTTTTGAAGTCAGTGGAAGCCAGGCCACGAGGAGGTACACATGAGAGAGAACCAGTTACAGAATTTTAACCTAAAATATCCAGTGTCAAAAGCCAGCAGGGAACAAAAGTAAATGTGCTTCTTACAGGATGCTCAGCTTGAAAGTGACCTGCAAGAAACCCTGTGTTGTGATAGATACTCAACTCTTTCCTTGCTCTATTCCTGTCCTGCGGCAGTGTGGTGTCTGGGTGCTTCAGCATCCCGCAGAGCCACTCCTGGGCTCTTCTACACAGAAGACCTGGGCACTGCCAAGACCAGTCAGAGGTGCTTGGAGCAGGGTGCTGAGGGAAGTATCTGGTGGAGGCCGTAGTTCAGTGCTTGGGCACTGACACACCTTTCCTGGTGGGTGGCTGCAGCTCCCTCCGCACAGGGCAGTGCTGGCTCTGCCAACTAACCTATGGAGAGGTTCTGCAAAGGAGTTTCTAGTGTTCTCCTTGTAGGCATAGCAGTGCTATGAGCAGGTGTCTTGAAGTGCTGGTCTAGGTGCAGGTCTTCCTTTTGCAGACTTGATTGTGCACAGCACATGCTGCATAACAGAGCCTAGCCTTTTGTCTTTGCACTTCATTCCAGTTTAGTGTCAGCAAGAACTTTTTGAATGGTATTCATGTTTTGCGGTTCAAATGTTGGTCCTGACTCAATGTTCTGCTCTCACTTAGCCCCGTGATGGTTATTAGTAATTGCCTGCATTGCTCTGTGGTGAGTGTTAGTGGTTGCTGAGGCACCATCTGCTACTGTCTGCTCCTGAAAACTGGTATTGAAGTAAAGTAGGTAAGATTTGTATTAGATTGAATACAATACCAACATTCTGGTTCCTTACCTGCTTGGTCTATAGTCTCATTATAGACCTCTAGATGACTGAGAATAGATTAGAAAAGTGGAGGAGGATATTGCACATCTAGTGAGTGTTTCCCCTCAAGAATCTGCAGTGTGCATTCTACAGTCAGAGTTCCCTATGCTTTTAACGCCTGTGGGCATCAGCTGTATCACCATTTATTTGTATAGCATATTTAAGTTGTTTTACTGACCTGGTATATTGTGTCTCGAAATCTCTTGACATAATGATTCTGAGCAGCTTTGTGTTTGTATTTATTGTCAAGTGGCCTGGAAAAGTTTTCAGAATTTGTGATACTGAGAAATAATGAGTTAAATTTATCGTGTTACTGGTAAACCAGCTAAAGCACATGTGAAACATTGCTTTGTGGTGTAATAAAGGTAACAGCAGATAATTAAGCAAACAAATGTTTATATGTCCCAGAGAAAGTCTGAATACTTAAAATAAACATGTCTGAAGCTATGAGTACTACTGGCAGTCTTCAGTTGACAGAAAGAACTCTGGGATTTCACTTCCAAGAAGATCACAACTTGGACAATGTGTAATATGAAAGAGCAGCAGCTGCACAGAAGTTCGGGAGAGGGAAGAGTACTGAGCTGTCAGTACCTAGGCTATCTGGTAATAAAGTCCTTTTAGAAAGAATTCTGTTTCTCTTATTACAAGAGTGATAATTTTAAATACCTGGTAATGCTTCTGTAAGTGATATTTGTATTCAGATTATTTTTTTTTTACTTCTTTCTGTAGGCAATTAGAAGTCTGGAAGATTTGATTTCAAAACACACCACAAATTTCAAAGGAAGTAAATCTACATGAAGAGCTACAAAGGGAGTTGATTTGAGAAGATACAGCGCTTGCAAAAATGTCTTCAAGTTGTGCGACTTCAGTGTTTGCTTTGATGATTTTGTGCTTTGCAGCTGCAGGTAGGTGACATTATGTAAATCATGCATTCATTGGAACTTATTGTATATATTCAGAATTATTGATCAGAAATACTTTTTCATGCTAGAAAAATGTAGGTCAGCTGGGTTTTATATAAAACTATTGTGATCATAACTGCTGGCACAGTGATGTGAGGAGCAGTGCTGTTCCTGTGTGAGTGTTTTCGTGCACCTGTTTTCCCCTTTAAAATCATTAAAGAACTGCAGTTGTAATGTAAATTATTTTTGCAGTTATTTATTCTAAAAAGAAAGTAACAGAAGTGTGTGGTGCACATATATTATAAAGCTTGCTGTGGAAGCCTTTGGGAGTGAAAGCAGGGTAGCTCTGCCAGTATGTGATGCTGTGGAGCTATTAGCTCTGCCAAGAGGCTGTTTTTACTTCCTTGGATGCAGGGTTGTGCTGGTGAAGCTTAGCTGGGGTCTCTCTCCCGAGCTGGGCTGAAAGGGTATACCCCTTTTCAGTTCAGTGCTGCCTTTGAGGGCTGTAATCTAGAATGAATCCCCCTTATTTTAGTTCATCAAAGTAAAAACTGTGTTACAGTAACTTGGAACAGAGAGATCTGTACAGTTCAAGTACCTATACTGTAGTTTCTTCAAGTGCTGAAGTGATTCTTCTCGCTATGTTTGTTTGTTAAAGTTCTTCCTGTGGTTGCAAAGGGAAGCCTCTTCTTATGTGTCCAGCATACAGCGTGGGTCATTGGAGAGGAGGCCAAGTGGATATACAGTTAGTCAAAATGAGATAGTGGGAGAAGTGGGCAGTGGACAGATGGTTTGCTTAAATCTGAGATGTCCTCACTGTGGAAAAGATGACCAGCTTCGGAAGAGACAGGGCTGAGCAATTAAATGTGCTACAGTTTGGCTTCTTTTCATCATCAGCATGGAAAATTATGTTGTTTCAAGCCCTCAAGCCTTGTGGGACTTTCTCTGGGCTTGACCTCCTGAGGGCATCCATCCAACATTAGTAACTTCGATTGTTTAATAGTACATGATGCTAAGGTTTTGCAATAGCTTCATTCCAGATGAACTTGCAGCAATACAGGGTGTGTCTGAGTGCGTCTGCGGCTTGAGCTGAGGATGTGAATGCTGGTCTTGGCTGAGAAGAGCGATTGCTGGGAATGAATCTGAATTTAGAGATGCAGAAAAATCGGCTTTGAAAGAAGGTGCCAGTGAAGAAAATAAAAACTGTTTTAATTGATCACAACCACAATTCCCTTTTGCTGCTGAAGAGATTGCTTGCCCAAGAAGTCAGCTTACCTCTTAATGCCAGCTTTAACTAACCCACTAATTTAAAAGTGTTATCAAGCACAGTACTACTATTGGTTGTTAGCATGTCTGTCCTGAAGTTTGTTGTGGTTTTTTGGTTTTACTCCCTAATTCTGTGTTTCCTCTGGCAGCTATTCTTGAAGCAAACTCTTAAAAAAAGCACGATGGACTTGGATTTGATCAGATGCTTATTCATAAGGAGAATAGTAGAACAATTTTGGCTAGAAGGGACCTCTGGGAGTCTAATCCAGCCCCGTGCTCAGAGCAGGGCTAGTTTCAAAGTTACTTCTCTTGTGGCGACTCATTCTTCCCACTATCTTCATGTGAAGTAGATAGCAGAAGGGAGTGGAAAGGGTCACAGTTTAAGAGGAGGTGAGGAAGCACTCTGTGGTCCTGTGGGTTTTGGTTTTTCTTTCATGCTTTTTATTTTTGCAATAAATTCTTAATGAGAACACCTACTTAATGTGCTTTAGAGTATAGTAAGTACAGTGAGATAAGAGCAATAAAGAACTGATGTATTCTGAAGTGTGTGTGTCAGGGAGTGATCTCTGGCAGATATAGTTACAACCAAGGAAGGACTGTTCTCTGAAGGTTGTTTAGATAGAGCTTTTGCAGTGTTTTTCTGTTAGTAGTCCTGTTAACTTAAACAATTATACTTTAAAGGCAGGGAGTTTGTGTCTATAGGTGAAATAGAGATGGGAGCAAGCAGCATGTTCTAGTTGTGTGGCAGATGCCCATGAGCTATTGTCAGCGTGATGGCCAGGGGACCGCAAGCTCAGCTCTTAGTTGCTGGTGTACAGAACCCCTGCTTGTTCAGGCTTGAACCATTACCAAGCCAGTATAAATAAAACCGAGGAGTATAAATAAGACTAAGAAGTATAAATGAAATCCCTGTGTGCCTGTGGTAAAGCCTGGGGGAGGCAGGGGGCAGCATGCCACCTCCCGAGGGTGTTCAGTTTTATATATTGAGGTTTTTCTAGCTTACTGTTGGTTTCTGAAGCAGTGAGGCTGCTGGAGAAGAGCACGCCTTTTTCTTGTTTGCCACTGCTGCTATTGGTCTAGGTTTTGTTGCTGGCATTCCAGTACCTTCAGCATTGTTATCATTTTAGACATAGGCGATCTTCTGGACAGAATCTGTGTTAATGTTTTATTTTCTTTCCATTCTTGCATTTTAAGGTACTAATGTGTGAAGTCTATCTCAGAAAAGCGCCAGGTGTTGGATGGCATGATGCACAGAGATGCATATTCAAACGCAAGCTACAAAATTGCATGTTTTTCATGCTGATAGCTTGAAGAATACACCTTGCTAACTTCACATTGAAAATGGTCTGCATAAGTATTCAAAGAATGTTTGTCTATTCCTCTACCCTCTCTTACTGCTCAGATGTATGTAGCTAAATGCTTATCTGAATCTGATTTACTTTGAGCTTGTACATGGCTTTCTTGTAAGCTCCTATTTATACATCTTTAATTGTACAGAAAAAGACTGCAAAGAAAACCTCGATTACTGTGAGCCTTTTCTTCCCCATGGAAAGTTCAAGGCAGGATGGAGAAGAGAACTGCTGGCAAGCTACCTGCCTGTCTGAAGGAATTATGTTTTTGAAGTGGGCTTAGACTAAGGTCTGGCAACCTGCAATAGGAACTCCACATAAACACTTAGAACTGCACACGCTATAGCCTTGAATAACCTCATAAGCAAGTCTGGATTTGTAGTCTTAGGAGCAAAAATATTCTATCCTAATGTGGCTTAAATCAAAGTCTGAAATGTATTTATTTTACTTGCTGGCAAATTTGTGCATTTGGGTGCATGATGTCTGTCTGATTGGAGGGCAGCTGAGACACATACTTGCCCTAGACCCTGAGGGCTAAGCCATCAACAAGATAGGTCCTTCCATGAAGGAATGGGAATGTGTTTTAAACTTGTTTTTTCTGTTTTTCTTTCCTGCTTTACTGTTGGGCTGGGAGGAAGATAGAAAGGTGATGAAGCCTGTGGACTTGCCCTGGCCCAGGGTCTCATTCAAGCTTCCTGGAGTAGATCCTCCAGCAGTGCAGATCATTCCTGCTGCCGACAAAGCAGCGCAGCTGTGGTGTTGATACCAACCTCAATTCACCCATGTAGCTGTATTCTCCTTCCCTCATACTTAGTGTTTCCTGTGCCTTCCTTGTAGACACCTCTCTGTGAAGCTGTCCTGTAGGGGCTGTAAGGGTTCTTATGAAAGGTTCTGAGAAATAACTAATTAGGAAGCACCTGATGAGCTTTTAAAGGTGGAAATTGCTCTAATTATTTTTTTATCTCTTTGTGGAGTTTTGTGGTTGTGGTCAGGCTGATGGAGAGATTGTAAGAGTTGGATATCTTATATTGGATTTCTTTACTGTGAGAGTGACAGATCACTGGAGCAGGTTGCCCAGGGGGGGTGTGGAGTCTCCTATGTTGGAGATATTCAAGGCCCGCCTGGACAAGTTCCTGTGTGATGTACTCTAGGTTACCCTCCTCTTGCAGGAGGGTTGGACTAGATGATCTTTTGAGGTCCCTTCCGACCCTTAGGATTCTGTGATATATTGAAGAATTTACCCATTTACTGTAAGAATGCCCATTCTGGTTTATCTGCTTATTTTCGGTCTGTCTCTATGGTTTTCTTTCAACAGCTCTTTATTCCCTGGCTCTCTATTGTTATCCTAGCTTTTTTTCTTTCTTTCTGCATACTTGTTCTTGTAAGTAATCTTGTGTGGTTCAGAGCATGTGTGCTTCATTTTCAGTAAGGCTCTTTGCCTGTATCTGGTGTATCTTTTGGATCTGTACCCCCCCCCCCCCCCCCAGATATGGTGGTGGTGGGTGCCATGTTAATAAGCATCACAAGAGGAAGAAACAGTCCTTGTCATGACATCATTTTTGGTTTGCTTTGAAGAGGAGCTTCCCCTGACCATAAACATGGTGTTTGCAGAAACAGTGTATGATCTTTCAAAGTATAATAGAAAGTCCTTCCACTGGTAGGTAAAGAACACAGCCTAAAAATACATATGCTGGGAGTCACTCACACACATTGCTTTGTTTTAAACAGTGTTTGCTAGGTATTTTCCCAATGTAATTAAATGGTAAGCTTTTTTTTTTTTTTCCTCAGTACATTTGTTTCCAGAGGTGCGGGGGGGGGGGTTTGTTTGTTTAAATTGTGGTTAAAGGATGAGAACCAAGGGACAGAGGTTGGCCCTGGAATTATTAGGGCTGAAGTAAAGCACAGACTGTTTGCAACTTGTGAGCGGATAGAGATTTCACTCTCCATCTCCCTTTATCTTCAGTTCTTTCTCATAATCATTAAGTGATGCGGTGAAGCTGATCAGATGAATCTCTCGGGCTCAGTCTAGCCTTTCTTGAGACTGGGCACAATACTCTAGAAATGTCAGAAATGCTAGATAGAGGGAAATAATAAATTAATAAGCCTGCTGGTTACACTTGCTAATATACCCATGTGCAGTCATTCTTCTGTACCACAGGGGCATGCAGCTGACTTGTGTTTCCCACTTTGCTTCCCCATAACTCTCAGGTCTTTTGTCAGTCCCAACCCTATGTATCTCCATAGGGTTATTCCATACAGGATGCAGGAATTCATGCTTATCATGAGGGGAGAGCAGGGCAGCCATGTAGGGTGAGGGAAGATGGTGAAGGGAAAGCAGGGACTGCCACAAGGCAGGTGCTGGGGCAGTTGTGAGGGCAGATCATGAGG